ATAAGGGATACAAATATTATGGACAACCTGAAATCGTTAGTTTTCATTGTGCTGAAAAATGTTTTTTTCTTAATTTCTTATACTGAAGCATTACAATTGACTTCATATTTGTTAGCTTCTAAAAATGGTTTCTAATAATCTTTTGTACTCCGTATTTCATGTACTAGTTTAGAGGGATGGTGCAATTACTTTGAGGCCACATGCAAGTGTTCTAACAGGCTGTTTTTTTAAACCTTATTTTGATTTCATTTGGGATGTAGCGTGTATGTGTGCTGTCATAATCAAGTTCATTATGCTCTGGTTAGTTATGCTCCGCCTTTACTCTTGTATTTCGAAGGTCATCATTCATCAGTTCATCACTTGACATTTACAGATGGAGAGCTCTAGCTACAAAAGACCAGTCTATTCATCTGAGTAGCTCATGTCAAGACTGTCTGCAGCTAGTAGAACAAATTGTAGTAGTTTATGTTGGGTAATTATTTCATAACACAATATCGATGTGAATTTTGTATTTTTGTTAGTTATGAATTACGATTAATTATATATGTTTGATGTTATCATAAATGTTAGTTTGCTGGTATTGAATTGTAATATAAAAATGCAGCGATTAAAATAATGTAAATAATGATTTTTGGAAATAGTCAAACAGGTTTTATGTACATGAAAACATTTCTTATGGGTTTGCTCAGTCCCATGTAAAAGACCCTACAATAATGGTTGATGTATACCTGTTTAAATTGTTGTTCTCACAAAGTGCTTGACTTTTTCTTATTAAGTAATGTGACATTTTATTTAAATAATTCATAGTACGTATATTATTATTCTAGGCATATAAAATTATTGTTCAGAACAAGAAAAGTAAACAGTCAATATACATTCAGCTTTTGTCCTAGACAGGAGGGTTATTTGGTCATTTGATATGATTCAGACATCTCATTCAGCTAACTTAGTAAACAGTTTGTTATCTTAGTTTCACTTAATCCAGACAGACAACTTAATGCAGACAGACGTCTTAATCCACCCAGCACTTAATGGAAAAAAAAGTAAAGAGCCCCTTAGTCAACTTGGCGAGTTGATCAAATTGACGAGTTACTCGCCATTACTCGGTATATAAAAAAGAGCACGCGCTTACAAAACCTAAACATATAATCGCTATTTGTCATCGTTTGGAGCATTGTCAGTGCTGCTAGGACTGCTACAGTGCTGCTAGGAGGACCTGCGACTCTTGCGAGTGCTACAGTGCTACTGCGAGGAGCTGCGCTTGTGACACAAACGGATAAGTTATTTCCCCCGTTTCATCAATTCTTCCTTCGTCTAAAGGAGATTTAATCTTTTATTTTACGTAAATGGGACTCTTTATTCCCAATATACCCCTGCTATTATAAAACCCTATTTATCTGTCTTCCGCATCAACAAAACTCCTCAATCTACATTTCTTTTTGACATCGGCAAACTCCGGCCTCTCCCGACTCCCATGGAGTACGAAGATTCTCTTCAGCCCTCTGCGCACCACGCCGGCCTGCCTCACCACAGGTAATCCACTCCTCCTCCTTCTCTTTCTCTACTTTCTTTTCCTTCTCCCCTTATACTTCTTTCTCCTCCTCTTCTGTTCTTTGCTCATCTTGCATTTATGATTATTTGTTGTTGATTTATTGGAATGTTATTTCAATTTTCAATGGAAATTTTATTTTTCGTTTGAAACTTTTGAACTCAAAACATTTGGGTGTGAAATTTTGAAGCTCTTCTTCAAATAAATTCAGATCTGAATGTTATTATCGTGTATCTTTATTGGCTTGTAAGAAATGCCAAATTTATGGCATTTATAAATGAAGATGGAAATATGCATCTTTGAAAATGCCATATTTTTGACATTATCACAAGTTTTGGCATTTTTATGACATTAAATTGAATTTTTCGGCATCATTGCTTCTTCACTTTTCTTCTACTATTTCACAATTCCAACTCTAAAATGTGTTAATGTCATACAAAGTAATTTGTAATCTGAAACTTCCATGTTTTTGCACAAAGAAATGCCATTTTTTGTCATTGATGTTATCATAATTACATTTTTTGCCTGAAATTGATACCATACACTCTAGAGGGGCAGTTGTGACTAAGAGACCATCTCCACAGAGGAATTAAGCCATGGCTACATTCTCCCTATAGGCAGGGGTAAGTCATGACTCACTGGAGGTGTGCTGCATCAATCTCGGCGGTGACTGCGGCGGCGGTCTGACAGCGGTGGCCATGAACGGAAGGTGTTGAAGGTGTCGAAGATGTTGAAGGTGTCGAAGGGTTGGTGTTCACGCTTTGTGCATCATAGAAGGCAGCTGGGGCGAGACGGTTTTATTTTTTCTCCTCCGTATTTAACGCGTAACTTCATTAAGGATAATTTTGTCTACTCAGCTGATTTATGGTCCTGTAAAACATGAGAGTCCTATTTGTGCATTTGAACATTGATTTAGTCCTGTTTAGGGAATTACCTCGATTATTAATTCCCTCTCGTTTATCCAAACTGCTAAATTCTTCCCTCTCGTTTATCCAAACTGCTGCAGCTGCAATTTTTTACCATTAAATTCCAAGTTGCTAAGTTTCTTAGTTATTAAATTCTTGAGGAATTAAGTTCCCTTTATACTACGTACTAAGTTTCTTAGCTTTCATTTTTTATATTAATTTTTCCTTGACAGTGTGTATGTTTGGAGCTTAGTGAGAATTGATATCAATTCTTTCATATATTCTCCTCCTCTGTCTCGTTTCTTATCATTAGAATAATAGGATTTTGCTACTCCATCATTAGGATAATAAGATTTCTATCCTTTTATTCACTTCTATGCATTTTAAGACACTTTAAAGACCATTTTAGGACTACTATATTTCCATAATGTTGGGCACCTGTATTTTTATATTTAATTAATACAAGGCCGAGTAATCCCGAGTAATCGGTCCTACTCGCTACTTGGCCCTTGACCGAGTAGCGAGTAAACTACCTAGATCTCAGCTCACCCTCAATATTCTCAGTCCTCAGAAACTTAGAACCAATTTTTTGTCAAAAAGGTTGAATCCCAACCCGAAAGGCTCGGACCCCTAGCACACGGGACCGTAAATCAAAATGACTCAACCAATCATAATGGTGATAGACCTTATACAATGTGCATCAGAGATTCAGCCCAACACATATGGACAATTTGTTTGATGTTAAACCTTTTTGTATTATGGAACAATTTAAAAAGTGACGTGGTGTGATATTGATATATGGTATCACCCGTCTAGAAGTATGACCGTTCTGAAGAACTTTAATTTCTGGACCTAACCATACTGTATCGCTAAAATATTCACACTACGATGCCAGAGTTGGCAAAGTACCTAATTTACTGAAATCGCGTCACCTCTAAAATTTATAATTCTTTGACTTATTTCAAATCGTTCAACCTCATGTGATCCAGTAGGGGTGTTTTTCATTGAATTAGTTTTACTCCCAAATCAAATCAAAGTAAATTAGATTTAAATAGTCCAGACATGAATAGATTAGATTTACAAAATACTAAAATGCGTATACACCAAACATTTATCGGAGCATACTAAAATCTGTCATATCGGATCTCAATATAAGAGGGAAACTAGATCAGATTTTTTTTTAAATTTACATATGCAATATTAATGTCAGATTAAATTAAAGATTATAAAAACTTATTTAGTTGGATATATTTTTTATAAAACTAGTCTAAAAAGGAAAAAATTATACTCCGTAACATTTTATATAAAAGGAATAGTTTGTTACATGGCTGCAAATTAATGGATAAAAGATCAATTTTTTAAGTAATGAGTAAATAACTAGTCTCGTGTGAGTAAATAACAATTTAGTTTAATATGAGTCATTTTTCTTTTTTGTTTCCGGCCGCCCTTGTTACCGAAAAAGTGATAGTATTATTAGCGAATTCATTTTAAAAAATAATAATTTAAAAAATCTAAAGACGAAGGTGGTTTGGAGGTCATCTTGACGTGACGCACCTTTCGGTATTTTCCTTTTAATTTTTTCGGACATTTTGGAAATCAGAGTTACTATTCATTGTCTTCTCAAACGTTTTGAATGGTGTGACCCTCTTGTGATAACGAAGTTCAAACACATGAATTACCTTGATAAAAGTTGAAACACATGATCCTACCTGAAAACGGGTCTAACCATATGTTCATTTTTCGTACTTCTCTTTACATTTTTCCTCTTTCTTTTTCATAAATTATTTCATGTTTTTTGACATATGAGTTACCCTTCTGCAACTTTTAATTCTCAAGATATGATATATACTAGTGCTTGGAAGAAATACACAGAAATGGATAACAAGACAAACCATACTAACCTTAAGAGTTAAGACATCAATCTAGATTAAGAGCTTGTCCGGTAACATTTATTTTGAGTTTATCATTTTTATTTATCAAACTTATTTATCATTTCCCGATGTAAATTTATATTTCGAATGTTGAATTGTGTAAAAATCAAAATTAGTAAGATTAAAATTATTTTTCAGATTGAATTTACTTGAGTTAGTTATTGTGGAAGATCACTTTAAATGATGCAATCACTTTATAAAGAATTTTATTGATTTCAAACACGTTCACAACAAATTTTTATGGGAATGTCATGAACTTCTTTTATTCACATTAGTCATTATCATTAACCATTATTTTTTTTATTTTTCGAAAAAACTAATCATTCTATTATAGACCGGCAAAATATAGATATTATGAGGCTGTTTCGCAATACTATTTTTCGATTTATCAGGCTTATCAGCCAACTTTTTCACCAGACACGTAAGTTTTGTTTTCGCGCGCAGAATTGTGTAACAAGCAGAAAAAATAAAGTTGAAGTTACTTTTCTAGCTGTATTGGCTGAAGTTGCTGTAGATGATTATTTTAACTACTTTTACATATATTTTTTCTTTATTTTATTAATAAGATATATTTTAAAAATAATTTTTTTACACATCAGCAGAATCAACCAATGCAGCCACTTCAGCCAAAACTTCATAATTTCAGTAAAATCAGCCAAAAGAGCTGATTTTCGTGCTACCAGACGGGTTGTATATATTTATGTGCTACTACTCTATTGTACTCCCTATTATTATTACACCATTGACCAAGAATCAAACGATGTTTGCCAAAATGTAAGAAAGCTAAAAGCTAAAAAGTAAAAACGTTATTGGTAAGTACAGTCTTACTTTCTGTTCTACAAACTTAAGAGCTATGCAGTATATTCATCATCTAACACCGGCCTGGTCCGGGTCTTTGAAGCCACCGTCGCCGTAGCGAGTCTCACGGCGGTCGTCGGCAATGGTGCTTCGCGTTCCAAAGCCTCCTCCATTTTCCGCTTCTTCTTCTCCTCCTTACCCCCACTTCCCTTCTTCGCACAAACTAATACTAAGATCAACAAACACAGCATCACAACCCCTCCAATCGTTGTCCCCAAAATTACCCACAGTAATAACTTGTTAAATCCTTTCTTATCCCTACTGTTTTTGCGGTCTCCAATGGTGGCCGCCGGCACTTTTCCCGGAGCTCCGATCTCGACGACCATCGAGAAATGCCCTTGCTTTGTACCTCTGCATATGTTCCCGTCGGCAACAATGTCAAATTCCAGCGAACCGCGCATATCAAAGAACACACACTTGGGGGGAGCCGGCGACGCCGACGCTGGCGCCGGCTTAAATCTTGAGAACTTTATCAACATCGGGGTCTCCGATGCCCGTAATTCGAGCTCCGGCAGCCCTGAAGCCGACAAATTGGAAGCGTCGTAAGCCATCAGACCCAAAACGGGAGTCAGATGAATGTAACCCTCCGGCAGAGGGTAATAGACGCCGGACCAGTTGCCTAAATTGTGATAAACAAGAACTATCCTCTCCGCGTACGGCTGCGCCACCATTCCGGCCGGGATAGTAAATTCATGGAAATCTCTGAACCCTTTCCTCCTCATGGCCCCACTCCTCAATCTCAACGCCGAAACTCCGATCCCAGCCATCCCGGGAGGCACATTCCCGTCGTACGGGATGCCGGTCTTCGGCTGGAGGAGCGCCCGGAATGCACGTTCCTGGAGAAGCGCGTCGAGCGAACGCGCCGACAGCTCTGCTCTGCTCGCCGGGAAATCAAGAACCGCTGAAACGGAATCGATCAGAAAATACAGAAGCAGGAGATGTGAACATGGGTGTCTGAAATTATGTCTCTTGAAGATGCCCATTTTGTTTTAGGCCCTTTTGAGTACTTCATTCACTTTGAATGGAGTCCAGGTATGAATCATGATCAAGAAACATAAAAATCAAAGTGTTTTTCTTTTTCTGTGATAGGGAAGGAGAAGTAAAGAAACAAGTACAGAGAAATAACAGGAAACAGGTTGGCGATTGCAACGGGTACTTTGAAGAAATAAATGCTGGAGCAATAAAGAAGGGGGGTATACACCTAAATTCTCATAATCTGATTTTGTGCAGAATATTTCGTAGTTAGTAGGTTGAGGATGAATTTGGAGTAGCCCAAAGAATGAAATTGGCTAACCCAGACGGCGAGCTGATTGAGCGTGGACAAGTTGGAATGACCAAGGACCGAAACTCCTTATTGTGACGTTAAAATTCATATGTTGGGTTAAACTTCTAGTGGAAACGATTATGAGGTCTAACATTATTGAGCCGAGGGTCACTTGTTGAAATGCCTAATCAGAACGTTAGGACCGAAGTTGTGATTCAACCTCTTGAAACAAAGAACGAAATTGGCTTATTGAAATCAAAACATTTAATTCCTGATTACTAGGTTTGAAGACAAACTGCAACAAATCCATATCAGATTGTTATAATTTTAAATAGTCAGATTGTAATTATTGTTACATTTAATTAACACTCATTGCAAAACCTTAAGCCAATTAGAGCCTCGAAGTGGACGATTAGTCAAGTGGGTCTAGAATGACCTTATGCACGAAAGAATATTTACTCCATTTGTTAAAGTTACACGTATGAGTTTATAATAAATAATGGTCATCTCCTTTATTATAGTGAGTAAATTTATGCAGTATTTTAAATGCTCTATGAGAATTGAGAAGCACCAAAGCTAGGGGTGGACTCGGGCCAGTTTGGGCCCGGCCGGGCCTCGGTTCTGTTTTGTTGGGCCCGAGCCCGAACCGGTAGCCACCGGTTCCGGGCCTGGCCGGCCGGGCCACCCGGTTTGTAATTTTTTTTTGGCTTCTCCTATTTAACCCCCAACCCACCCCCCCTCACCCCCAAACCACCCCAAACCACCTCAAATGGCCCAAAATACCCAGCCCAACCCAAAAACTTAAAAAAATTCAAAAAAAAAAATTAAATTCGGCCCGGACCGGGCCCGAACCGGCCGGGCCGGTTCACCAAATGGAGGGCCCGAGCCCGGAACCGAACCCCACCGGGCCGGGTCGACCCGAACCGCCCCTGGGCCGGGCCACCGGTTCGGTCCGGTTCAAACAGTGACCGGGCTGGGCCGGTTCCGGGTTGGGCCGCCCGGCCCGAGTCCACCCCTAACCGAAGCACATTACAATATGTCTAAAATAATTAATTGAAAACCATATGAGTTAGAGCTTCACTCAGTATATATTAAAGTTCAATTTATGTTCTTTCAATTAACTTTTAGATTGATGTTAGAAAGCCCTTAGAGTTGGACTTTATCTTTTTGTTGAGAAGGGTTCTCAATTGGTGTAGTTTCTAGAAATTGAACTGAATCTATCTTTCAGTAGCACATGTTATGGGTCCAGCCCATATTTGCAATATTTTATATTGCTTTTGTTGTTTATGTTTGGGTCTTGTTTGATGGATTTTTATGTCCTATTTTTGGGTCCATTTGATTTTGGGCTTTGGGCTTTTAAGACAAGTTTTTTTAGAGTTCCTTTTGCTGTAAAAGATCATCTGGGGAAGGCTTTGACAGATAGAAAAACGCACACACACAAAACAGAAGGTTTTGGGGACATAATCCCGTTTTTCGACCTGCAGTACGTTGCTTTGTTCAGATCGTCGATCGGAGGTGTTCCCGTGGTCGGATTTTTCTGAAATTTGGACAGCTTGTTCGTGACTTCAAGGGCTTCATTTTGAATGGTCAGATTGTTCAGTTGATCTCTGGTTTAGTCAGAAACACTGCACGAACAGACCTGCAGTTTTGGGTGATTTCTACACATTATTGTGCTATTTTGATCTCTTATTGTTATTGGTAATTGTTGGTGGGCTGTGAATCCTTGTAGACTGATTTGGGGTTCTTTTACCCTCATTTATCAATAAGAGAATTAAGTGTGGACTCCTCAAGAGGTCCCGTGGTTTTTTATCCTACACGTTGAAGGGTTTTCCACCTAAAAAATCGTGTGTGCTCCATGTGCTTTATTTCCGCTCTTTGTTGTGCTTTTTATTCTGCAATAGTGCTGGTTTTGTGTGGTAATTTGGTTGTGTATCAGTTGGATTGCTTACTTAGTTGATTGTCTTGAGGTTGTGACTTTGTGGGTGTCATAGAGACCCCTTAAAGTCTCAACCCCCTCTAACACCTACCCTAGCACCCTGTTACCTTGGTAGCCACCACCGGCCAATGACCGCCTCCGCAACCACCGGTCAGTGATCATCACCGGCCACGGTGACATCGGCCAAAGTTACTAGTGCCACATTTACATAGTTAGATAGTGACCACCACCGGAAACCGTCATTATCCATCACTGCCAACCCCTCTCCAACACGGACCCCAACCCCCTCTCCAGCCTACCCCAACCCCCATCCCCCAACCCCATTTCCATCGTTCTCCCATGGCTACCCCCGGCCATCGCCGCCGTCCTCCACCGCCTTTGCCCAACCCTCTCCTCATCCTTACAGAGTCATTACCGCACCCCCTCACCACATCCCTCCCCAACTTCCCACTTATTCAGAGCAGATCTAGCCCCTGAACCACCGCGGACCCACCCCACACCTCCATCGTAGCCCTCACACACCTCTGCGCCAACCCTACAACCGCCAACCCGAAATCGCGGTCTCCGATCGATCTGATTACCAGATGTGAACCCTAGCCCCATTCGTAATTGCCCTCATCACTTTCCTTCATAATAGATGATGTAATCCTCGCTCTCCATCGTCAGATCTCCACCATTGCCTGACCGCCGCCATCGATAGGTTTCTGCCATCGCAGGTTTTGAGATTTGTTCGAAGAAGAGAGACAAAAATAGAGATCTACCTGCGATGTATGTACAGCGTGGAGACGACGTCGTGAAGATGGCAGCAACATGAAGAAGGTGATGGCGTGCATATTGTTGCAGCTGATGTAAAAAAGCAAAGATGTTGTGACGTTGCGCGATGTTACTGTTGGTAGAAAATAACGCGAGCAGAGAATTCAGCAGCCTTTCAATATAGTGAGAATAACTTAGCGTCACACGAGGATCACGTGGCCTATTTATAAGTGATTACAACAAGTCTAACAATAAAAGGCTACATGGGTTTGGCCTAATCTAAGAACTAATATTGGCGCTAATGGGCGAGCCGGGCCAGTTAATAAGCAAATAATATCTCAAACCGATTTCTGCCAGTCGGGCCGTGTTCTGAGCTTGGTCGGGCCAAAGCTCGGGTATAACGGGCCGATAGTCTTGGACCTGGCCCATTATCCCAACAGTTACGAAAGTGACGAGAGAGAAAATGTCGGAAATGACGTAGGGCTGTATGATTTTAATTTCAATCCACACATTTTCAGTAACATTTTTGTGCAAATGGGATTCTAGTCATATTTTTCTCCTTAATAAGTGTAGAAGTAATATCCATGTCATTCTTGTGTAATTGTCCCGTCCTTTCATATGAATGAAGAAGGATTCAAAAAAAGTGTGAAAAACTTTGGGATGGAGATGCATTTTTTATATCGTTATATAGACTTTGCAGGTGACAAAGGTTAAAGACGAATTTTTAAATTCACAATGAGATACTGGGAAGCATGTATGTTTTAGTGTTATACGAATTACTCCCTCCGGTTCTTATTGATCTTTACACTTTCCTTTCTTGTCAGTACCATATTAAACTTTACACTTCCTTATTTGCCTTATTTGGCAAACAAATCTACACCAAACAATGCAAAACAGTGTCAAACAGTGTACTCTACAGTAAAATCAAATTTATTTCCTTAATATATGTGAAGTTAAACTGTAAAGATCAATAAGAACCGGAGGGAGTACATAAATTAAATTAGCATAAGATACCACCTCTGTGGCTCCGTCCCAAAATACTGTCAATTCTAAATTTTTATTGGAGTTTGGCAATTATTTATAATATATATAAAAGTGATATGAAAATTTTCCGTATTAAAATTACTTTTATAAAATGGGGTTTTTACAAGAATATTATTAAATTAAACTTATTTACATAAATATGACTATTCGTTACTACAACGTAGTGTTGTGGTAATTTAAGTTCAAAACTTGAACATAAATTACTATGATTTCATTACAACTCTAGTAATTAGTCATATTTTTGTACACCATTTTTATTTTGATCATATTTATGTAATTATTTCTAAATTTATAAATTTTATAAATTTTACGGAGTATAACATTAAAAATGGGTTAAGTGCTTTGAGATGGATGTGCTATGTTAAAGATCAAAACCCTTGCATTGGAAATGTTTGTACACAGACGGCTAAGCAAGAATGAATAGTGCATGGTTTCACTTTCATTGACCCCATTTTGTGAGGTAGTTGCATTCTGATTAGCCAAATAAATTATTTTTTAGGACACAAATTGGCTTAAATTGATAACACATCATCCAGATAGTAGGTAATACGACAAAAAGATTTCCAATAATCGCCGTTCCGCGAACCAGACTCAGAATTAATCACCTCCAAAGAAGCAATATAATTCGTTGATCCATAAGTGGGCACAACTGAGCCAAAGACGATTACACAATCCTCCTCCCATCACCCCCATCCAAATCAATTGTCTTACAATCAGAAACAATAAAAACAGAAAAAAAAAACAGCAAAATTGTATGACAAAAAGAAAAAAACGAAACTAAAAGCATTCCAGTTCAGCTTGAATACTCCCATTTGCACCAGCCCCCTTCTCTTCCATGTCTCATGTGACAGAAATTGTTGTGGCGGACTTACTATCCAAAGCCCGCCTCCATCCCGTTTTTTGTCCCATCCAGTACCATGTTGTCCTCTCCACTATTTCCTCCTCCCTGAGATTCCCAGATTCTTCTTCTTTTTTGATCCCCTGATGATTTTTCCTTTGCTTCTGTACCATCCATCATACTTTGTGCAAATTCTGAGATAGAATCTTTTCCAGATCCGTTCTGCCTATCTTCCAGCTTCAGATCTCCCATAATCCCACCACTGCTGCCAGAGCTCGATGAACCCTCCCATACCCACTTGTTTCCTCCTGTAGGGCTGGTCTTCACCTCTATCCCTGCTCTAAGATGAACTCCAACCCGGTTCTCCAAAACAATCCCTTCTTCATAGTTTGGGGACAAATTTATCTGAATGTCCGGTGAGTCCACAAATGAAGCAGAAATTGGGAAGTTTTTCTTACTTGAAATCTACCCAAAAACTCTTCCCCTCTTTTTTCAGATTCGTACCCTTTTTCAGGGGTTCTTCCACGTTCAAACCTACCCTAACCCTCAAGTTTCTCCTTGTTCTTAGGATCATCATAATTATAAATTTGCCAATAAAATTACCTAGTTTTCTTGTCGTCCCTAAATTGACTAAACTATAAGGAACATTATGAACCTGAATCCAGAACTCAGCCTCATTTAAGGCAATCTTATGTGGAATATCATCTGGTTTTAATTCTCTTAACAACAGCAAATTTTGTTCAAACTGCCATGGACCTCCTTCAATAACTCGATTCATATCAAAACGATGATTAAAAGTAAAGAGATACATTTTTTCACCCAAATCTTTGAACGACATCCCCTTTCCTAGCCGCCAAAGTGACAAAATGAGATCCTTAAGGGCTGACAACTTTACCTGTCGATCTGTAAGCAACATCCCAATCACTGGAAAACCTGATTTCTGCACCTCCGTCGGACTTTCCTCCTCGTCGCCCCCATCCAGATCAAGTACTTCC